ATTCATTCCCCACCTCTCTTTGTCCCTGGGCAAGCCTCAGTGCCACCTGTCTCATTGTTCCCCGTTTCCTTACCCCTGGATGGTCTGGTCTGCTCCCTAAATGAAAGGCGCAATGTCTACAGTTTGTGGCACCAAGAAAGCTCCTTTATCTTCCTCCTGCAGCAATGTTCCTCTTACTCCGCTGAACTTGCGACTTCTGAGCCACCAATTTAGTGACAATGATGTTGAACTTCACTGTGCAAACACAGATCAGAGAAACCCCTGCCAGAGCTCATGTGAAGCATAATCCCTCCAGTGGTTTGGGATGAAAGTCCATAGACCTAGTAATACTGAGCTGGGAACATACTGGTTATTTTCCCCATAACCACAAATGCTAAGAGCTGTGTTGGGTGCAGCTGCTGGGGTATGCTGACTCAATCTACATGCTGAGGAATTGTGGGCTTTCTTTTCTTTTAAAGTTTGCAAGAAGTTCCTGTGGTGTGGTCCAGGCGGTGCTCAACGGGTCCCACAATAACACCTTTGATAAAAACAGGTACTGGGGCGAGGGGGAGAGAAGAGGTGGAAGAGGGGAGGGGGGGATAAGTGGTGATGGAAAAGAACGCAGTCCCTTATTTCTCTGCATTGTGTTTGCAAGGGTTAGCTCAGCCCCATAGTAGATATTTCCCCTGTAGCAAAATATGCTCCTGATGTTTAAGGTCACTCCTGAAGATTTGGGCCAAAAAAGGTAAAACTGTATTCAATGGAGAGATTTGTCCTTCTAAGTGAATGGTTTTGTCTCTTTTTCTGCTGCGCATAATCCTCTAAAGGGCCTAATGGTCCTTGTGCTGTGTGCAGCTCCCCCTCTGGACTCTGAGGCCTGGTGGAATTTCCTCAGCTCTGTCTCCCTTTACGCTCCACGCTGCCCATTTCCTTCCTTGGTTCACGCTGTTCCCCATATGACCAGCCCCCTGCCTCCCTCTGCCTCGCTAAACCCTCACCATCCACGCAGATCTGCCCCTCGCCTCTGTCCTCCGTCGACACCTGAGTCCCATTCGGCACCACAACTACTAGTGGGAACATCGGGAGCTGCGCCGTGCTCTTGACTTGCCTTGTCCCCTTGCAGGCGGTGTCCGCAATCTAGCTAAAAGCGGGGCCTCCAGAGGCCGCCACGTGCTCTGTGCGGGACTGTAGGCAGGGCGCGTCACCCCTGTGAGCCTGTGGCGTGTACCTGCAGAGGTGGTGGTGAGGTGAGGATNCGTCACCCCTGTGAGCCTGTGGCGTGTACCTGCAGAGGTGGTGGTGAGGTGAGGATGGGCCGAGACAAGCATGAAAAAGGCCGAGCTCTGTGCCTGACAGAGGGGGCGCCCCTTGAGAACCAGCTCTTCTCTCACTGACTCCACGCCGTGGACGCCCCAATGCCTTCCTCCTCTGCTGACTCTGTACTTAGTGTTCACCACATGGGTGACCTTTCCAGTCTTTGTTCTCCAGTCTTTCCCTGGGTAAGGCTGGATAGAGAGTGGGGAGCAGTCTAGGTGCCCCCAATTAGTTCCCCTCTCTCCTGTTTTCATATTTAATTCTACGAAGAATCATTTGTCCTTTTGTCTTCTTCTTTTGACCTCAACCTTGTGGGCCTTTGGATGAAAGTGCTGACGTCTCAGAATTTTATAATCTGGTAGGAGGGTCCTGCGTACTTGCCGTGGGAGTGGCAGGCGTCAGCGACATGGGGAAGGGTTGAGAGTGGGGCTAGAGCAGGACGTCAGTCTTTCAAGGCCGGGCTGCAACGTGCCTGAGCGGGTGGACCGCCTGCGGATTGCATGGCTGCAGAGCCTGGTTCAGCAGGGGTGGTGGACTGAGGTTCTGTCCTTCCAACTAGCTCCCAGGCGATGCCATTCTGTTGGTTTAAGGCCCACTCTTGGAAAACCAAGTTCTTAAAGAATCAACATCATGGTCCAGATAAGGAATCTTATCGAGAGGGCCTTACTCACTGAGGGTCACACTGAAAGGGTAAAGGTGGCTTCAGTTCCAGAGGGTGGGTTCCAACCAATGGCGACCCACCTGCTGGCTTTCCCAGGGGCTATGGGTACCTGAACCATTTCGTTTGGGGTTAACAATGTTCCTTTTCTCTTATATCTTAGCATTTTTCTAAGTGTGGAAGTCCCTAATTTGAATCCAAAGAATGTTTCTACACTACAAGCCTTGGTCATGGATGACATTGGAGGAAATGTCAGGTATATGTTACTACTTTGTACCCATATATTCTCAGGGTTACTTTAGGAATCACTGTGCAAAAGAATCCACAGTGTTGAGAATGCTTTGAGGAAAGACTGGCTCAGGAAATGAATGAGGACTTTCTGTACATTCAGCCCATCCCCACAACCTCTCAATTTTATCTCCATGTTGGGTATCTACCTAGTTCTCACCTTCAGCTCCCCTGCTGACCTGTGAACAGTTAGAGGCAGCCTCAGCTTCACCTCCATATGCCAGGGCTTTGTGCAAGGCCTGCTACCTAGAAGAAACTGACTCAGGGAATGTTTGCAAGATCTTGTTATTTTAACACTTTCTTTGTTCTTTCCTAGTCACAAGTGCTTGGGACACAGCATTGATGATCTGAAATGGATTTTAAACAACAAGAGTATTCCATTTTCCTGCCTGGATGACTACAGGTAATTGATTTGTTCTTGAAGAAGAAATAGCCATCTTGCCATCTGTGGGCATTTTCCCTGGGGCCTGGATGGAGATCTGGGATGGTGACCTATGGTGACCTCTCTTCCTCCGCCTCCACCCCCCAGCCTCCCCCAGAAGTGTTCACAGCCAGGGACCTTCTGAAGAAAACAGGCTGCTGCTTCTGCTGTTTCTGGATCATCAGCTGACACTCATGGCCCACATCTGTGCCATGTTGGAGCCAGACATTTGTTTTCAGCATCAAACATCCCTTCTCAGTATTTATTTTTATGACTTTACAAGTGAAATGAAACTCAGCTGGGCCCCACTTTAAGTCATTCACTCCTGGACTTGACCTTTCTCCATGTTGTCACTGCAGGAGAGGAGCTTGTCTGGATGCTAAGTGCTCAACCCATACTTTGGTTGCTAATGAAGGATCTTCTTCCCTTGATGAATTGAACGATAGATGTATTGAACTGCCTCAAGATTTCCTTTTTTGCTTTCTTGTCATAGGCCTCTCCATCTTCTTCAGTGTGCAAAAACTCCTGAGCATCCGTCTTGCAGCTCTGTAATATGAGCCGTAGGCATGGTGGTTTCAGGTCTTTGAGATCTTCGTATGTGACTGTGCATGACTCAGGAAACACCGTGGTGGAAAGCTGAAGATTTGGGGGATCTTCTGTCATCATGTCAACACCAGAGATGAAGCCTTTCCCCCCAAAGTCTTAAAATAACTTGTGCTATAGGCATAGTTTTTATTTTTATGTTGATATATTAATATTCAAGAAAAGATGAATTATTATATAAAATTAAAATGAAAAATTTACATTGTTATTTTAATTTTCATATGATGTTCATATGTTGCCAACATCCTTTCTATTGAAGAATGACTACACCAAACCTCTCTAACTGAAACAGGCAAGTAAGGAAAGTTAGATACCCAAGCTTTTCAGAGCACTTTACATTTCCAAATGAGTGGCCTTGTCTCAGGATATATTATTGTACCCTTTTTACTAATAAACTATCATGGGTTTGGGCCATAGTTATGGGTCATGTTGGCGAAAATATTCTGCAGGATGTAAGCTACCCATGTGCTTGGTTCTTTACCTCTAACCCTTCTAACAGCTCTATGAGGTTGGTATTTGTTAGAGAAGAAAATGGAAGAGAGGTTAATATAATTCACCCAAAGTCATGCATTGAGTTCGAGGTAGAGGCTGAATTTGAAGTGAGCTCTGTCTGACTCCAAAGTACATGCACTTTATCTTTCTAGACCTATAATCCCAAACTGATAGTGCCTTGTGCTCTCTTCAAACAAATGCATGTTGGATTACCTTGAATACAATAGAATCGAGAATGTGATTTTTCTGGATAGTTTCAAAATAGATACTTTTAACAATGTTCTTTTAAAAAAATTTTTTTTTAATGTCTTTATTGATTTCAGAGAGAGGAAAGGAGAGGGAGAGAGAGATAGAAATGTCAATGATGGGAGAGTCATTGGCTGGCTGCCTCCTGCATGCCCCCGACTGGGGACCGAGCCTGCAACCCGGGCATGTGCCCTGACCGGGAATCGAACCCCGATCTCCTGGATCCTAGGTTGATGCTCAGCTGCTGAGCCACACCCGGCTGGGCTCAAAATAGATACTTTTTTTTTTTTTTT